ATCACAAGGAGTTAAACATAAAAGCAGCTAAACAACAATGGCCTTTTGCTAAATTAAATTGTTATTAAACTAAATCAAAAACTCCGGCACAATTTATTTTTACTTTTTTTTCATTTATTCTGTCTATCATCACAAGGAATTAAACATTAAAGCAGCTAAACAACAATGGCCTTTTGCTAAATTAAATTGTTATTAAACTAAATCAAAAACTCCGGCACAATTTATTTTGACTTTTTTTTCATTTATTCTGTCTAAGTCAGAGCAGCAAACAGTAACATACAATGTTATTTTAAAGAGGTTAGTCCAGTTGTTCACCATACTGGTAATCTTGGACCCACTGCTCTTCAAGTTTTGGTCCACCAAACCTAATTCAAATGGCTGTTTTACCTCCTAAGTATGCCACGCTTGCAGAAGCCTTTAAATCTTTGCTGTGGCATAGCTTTATTCACTCAGATCATTTACCAAGGTAAACTGTCAATCAGAAAATTGTTCAGTATTACTCAAAGTCTGCGATGGGATTGAAATGATCCATCTACTGTATGTGAGGATCCATCCATGCCCAAAACTTTCAGACATTGGTGCTCCTCCTCATTGGTTATTTAATCCCACCATAGCTGCACCAGATGAGCACAGACACACACAGTAAATCCACCACTAAACCAGACATCTGCCTCCGTGTCTTCTAACGGGGACACACCCCGTACACCTTGCTGCTCTAAACCCAGCTAACTCCTGGAGAACAGCTCTTCTCCTTCCAGATCCCTGCAATGATAGGACAAAAACAGGCTGACCCTCTTAATGATTGGCTAGTAAAATACCAGCCATGGGGACCAGGATGTCACTTATTTGTGCTCCACTTTTAATGACCTTCCGTGTGTGTGATCCTTTATGAGACCCAGGTAGAACTGAAGTCCGGACACCTGAGCCAGCTCACACCAGTCCTGTGTTTGGTAGAAGTGAGGTCAGGACTGGACTGAAAGCTGGCTGGCTGGTGTCAGGTCAGCATGTGTACAGACCTGATAGCCATCAGAGTCCTTTTCAGCTACCAGAGTCCTCTCCTGTGGAACCAGGTTCCAGTTTTGGTCCGGGAGGCAGACACCGTCTCTATATTTAAGAGTACCCAGCTGAAAAATAAATGTAATAAAAAGTGTCATACTTTTGTGTACTTGAAGGCACACTAATCATTACTATACCTCAAGTGTTTTGATTATTAGTTAACTTGAAGCATGCTTTTTTGAAACGACTAATTTTGTACTAAATATATTTTGATTGTAATTAAATTGTGAAAAAGCTCAACTTGAAGTGTACTTAGTGCTGTCCTCCAAGGTATTCATGATGCTGGACCACTTCCACAATGGCTGTGGGGGCAGATAGCAGCTTCTTGTGGATTTCAGCAATAGGATATGTCTTGGTTGTATTAAGATGCAGATGGTCAGTCTCACACCACACAACAAAGGAATCCACAACACTGTACTCCTTCCCCTTCCCCCACTGACACAGCCAACAGCTGCAGAGTGGTCACAAAACTTCTGCAGGTGACCAAAGACGTGACCTCAGTGTGATTTGAACACACAACCTTCTGATCTGGAGTCAGACGCTCTACCGTTGAGCCATGAGGTCTTAGAGCTGCTTTACAGTGTTATGTCATTCTGCCTCTGCAACACTGGTTATGGTCTGAATCATTTCCACCTCTCACATCATTTAGTTGAACTTACTAATTTCCTGAGGGAGTCTTCCCAAGGGATCAATAAAGTACTGTCTAAGTCTAAGTTGGACTTCAATGGTGGACATTCAGTTTTTTTTCATAAAGCAACAAAACACCATACACTGTAAAAAAAAAAGTTTGTAAAATAAACAGTAAAAAAATTTGTAAAGGAAAACACAATGATATTTTGTTCATTTACCAGTATTATGTTGTATAATGTAGAACCGAAAATTATTGTAAAATTTAAAATATGAAATTGCAAATAATACTGTATTTTGTTGTGGAAAACACACATTTTGTATTTTTAATGGAAAAAAATTGTATCCTTCACAACATTTTTACATTTCAGCAGTGTAAAACAAACATTTACATATATATTTAAATCCAAATGAATTGGAAGCTAGCTTACAATTGTTTACTTCCAATTTTGTTTACTAGTTATCTATTTATATTCACTTGTGTTTTCCCACTTCTTGAGATTGTCATTTCCTATTTAATTCATTTACTTATTCTTTGTCAATTTTGATTGGATCATTTCTTCATATTTCACGACTAACGTGGAGGAAACACCTGAATCAACAAGGAAGTCATGTCCGGTACTTGCTTATTGGTACATGTATTTTATTATTAGTGTTTTTTTGCTAACTGGATTTTTTACCTTCACCGTTGCCATTATAAGCTCAAAGTTCGGCAACTGCAAGAAAGACAGAGATCACCGCTTTGTGCTCAAGTTCTCCCTTTCGCTCGACGGTGCGGTCTGTTCTGCTCTTTAATTGGTCCGCTTACCTGGCGCCTGAATTTTGAACAAGTTCGTACAACGGTTCTCATCTCAGAAGAAGCTGAATTGTGCTCAAACCTCGACAAAGAAAAGAACGCTGTTTGGACCTCGTCAGCATTCAGCAAATGTAAGTTAAACTTTATTTTCTTCAAACGTAAAAGGCACGGTAATATGTGTTTCTGGGGAGATTAAATTTAGTTTTTAAGGCGTCATATTGCTTCTTGGAACAATATGCAGTAGAATCATTGTTTGCTACACCTTCAACACGTGTAAGTTGTTGGGTAGGTTGAAATTGTTTAAACATGATTACATGTACGTTTTGCTGTAAAACACTAGAATCATTGACGGGCTATGTGTTGCATTGCAGAGTGCACAGAAACGAGCCCAGTTGTGTATTCAAATGCCTCGGCACAGAATGTAAGCGGACATTTTGTACATATGCAGCGTTTAAAACTCATTTTTACCGAGTTCACAACGTGGCTTCACAACCCGAATCAGCCAAAGCCATTGTTGCTAAATTGAAATGCACCATTTCATTGTGTGGGCACCAAAGCCAAACTGTGAAAGAAGTCGTTGTTCAGGAGCATATAATGGAGGGGCGGCCTGTAGCATGTCCAGTGAAAGCCTGCAATAGTTTTCAGCGTCAAATCATCATTTACAGCTCATATGTCCCGTAAACATAGAGATTCTTCTGTGGATGACATTGATGTTCTGTACAAGGAAACTACAAGTAAGATCGTTAGTCTGTCAGAAAACGATGGGCCTTCAGAGAGCTTTAATGATGCTCTGACTAATGAAAGTCACGAATTATCTCCAAATTTCAACAAGGATTATCTCAGAAACTTGTGTCTTTTCTACCTGAAACTTCAAGGACAGCTGCTTCTTCCAGCTTCCACAATACAGAACATCGTTGAAGAGATGCAAAATGTGCATGAGCTGGGAATGGATCACACTTTGACTAAACTAAAGTCGCTTTTAAAAGATGACCTGTGTCTTGCAGATGATGCTGTTTCTAAAATCTGTGATTGTGTGATTTTTTTTTTTTTAAATATATTTTTATTCAAGAAAGTACAAAGTAAGGTACATAAAAATACAGTAACATGAGTTGAATTTGCTTTTTCTTTTAACAACCAAACCCCACCCCCCCACCCACCAACATAAAAAAAAAAAAAAAAAAAAAAAAAAAGGGGGGGGGGACAACAGGGGACATTACATGTCAATAATACAACACTTGGACATCATCAATTATATTATATATATATGTAGCCCACCTAAAGGTAAGGGCCCCTGAGTTTTTATGTAACTCAAATTCTAATAGTTTGTAAAACCCTAATTAGTTGCTCTACTTAATAAAGTTACACTATCTTACCTTGTGATGATAGCCTCAAATACACATATACACAACAATGGAAATAATCAAACAGATTTGAATGAATAAACTTTGCATTTACTGAACAATAGCACAGATTTAAACAATCAACAGCAAAATCAAATGTCCTATACTAAAACCCCCTCGTTGCAGGCCTGTTGGGTGATTTGAGAGCGATGAGGTACCTTTACCTTTTGTCCTTCACACACTCTTTACCAACGTTCACACAGCGTTGAACAAGCGTGGGGTGTCCAAGATGGCGGGTCACACTCACGGGCCTCCTGATAGCAACACGTGTCCGCTCTTCTCCTCAGCTCCTTTCCGACTCCGGGAAAACATAAATCCACATAGGTTACTCTTCCAATCTATTTGCTCCTCGCCGAAAACGTTCATGCCCCAAACCGGGAACATAAATAGTTTTCTTTCCGTCGGGTTGACTTCGCCAGTCACACACACGGAGCATTCACGGGGCTAGCGAATGCTAAAAAAACGGAGCTCACTCGGTTATATTCCAGGGTTTGTCCTCGGTCTGAAAACATCCAGGAGTTCTTCGAAAATTTGGCAAAACAGGTCTCCGTCAGCGACTATTGATTTAATAGTCCAGGACTCTATTATAACCACACACAAAATCCAACATGTTTCCCTTCGTCGTTTTACTCGCGCTAACCAAACAAACATCATGGACTCTCCCCTACTTCCGGTCACGTCTCACGTCAATACAGGAGTAAACAAGTGAAAGTAGTACACATGCACATCACTTCCCTTAGACCTTCAAAATAAAATACATTAACAATATTGCAAAAATACCTCTTTTACCTTACTCTTATACTTTTAAACAATTTTAAACACATTAACACATAAATGAAATGTACTTATACAACATAAACTAAATTATTAATACTTTTTAACCATGAAACTTATCACATTTTAACCTCGTTACATATACATACATGCACATATACACACACATATCTACATCCCAGGGCTCCATAGGCTTATGGAGGTAACTCTATATTTTTAAGATTTTTAAAGTACTCCATGATAGGGTCCCACACCCTGTGGAATTGTCTTGTGGAGCCTCTGATAAAGTATTTAATTTTTTCTAATTTCAAGAGAAACATTAAATCAGTGAGCCAGACCGAGACTTTAGGTGGTTCAGATGATTTCCAGAGTAAGACTATAAGTCTACGAGCTACCAAGGAAGCAAAGGCAAACGCATTCATTTGATCAGTGGATAGCATGTGCTCCTCAAACAATACTCCAAAGATGGCCATTCCTGCAAACGGTTTGATTTTGGTATTAAATGCTTCATTCAGTGTTTTACAGATGGATGACCAAAATTCGGTTAGTTTCGGGCAATTCCAAAACATATGGGTCATATTTGCTGGAGCAGAATGACACCGCTCACACCTGTCATCAATGTCCTTATAAATTCTTGAAAGTTTAGATTTGGTATAGTAAGTTCTGTGGAGGACTTTTAACTGTATAAGGCTAAGCCGTGCGCAGGACGATGTTCCATTGATTCTTTTCAGAGCACGTTCCCAGAAATGTTCAGAAATAAAAGAACCAAGTTCTTCAGACCATGCAATTCTAAGCTCATCTAGTGTCGTTTCCTGAAGAGAAGTTATGATATTTGAGATGTTTGCAATGTGCCTCCTGAAACACAAAGGGTTACGCAAAATCCTCTCAAGCCCCGAGTCTGCTGGAGAGGCCGGAAATGCTGGACTTTGACTTTGAATAAAATGACGGACCTGGAAATCTCTGAAAAGATCAGTTTTTTGTAATTGGAATTTGGCCGAAAGGTCAGTGAAGTTGGCAAAAACACCATCTGTATAAAAATGGTCACAAGTTTCCAAACCATTTCTCCTCCATTGAGCAAAGGTGTGATCCATCCTGGCAGCCGGGAAAAGGTGATTGTTACAGATAGGGCTATATATAGAAAATTCTTTTAGATTAAAATGTTGTCTGAATTGTATCCATATCCTAAGAGAGGAAGATACTACCGGATTATGAGTAAATTTAGAGGGTGAAAGTGGTAATCCAGTAGTGACCAAAGCAGAAAGAGAGGAAGAGGTGCAGGAGTTTGCTTCAATCCTACACCAATCCAGCTGCGGGTTTTTTTACCAATACATAATTTTTTGGATATTAAATGCCCAATAATAGTTTCTCATATTAGGTAAAGCCAGACCACCTTTATCTCTGGGCCTTTCTAGAAACTCTCTGCGAACTCTAGCATTTTTATTTGCCCAGAGAAAAGAGGAGAATGATTTATTTAAAGACTGGAAAAAAGACTTAGACAGAAATATTGGGAGACACTGAAACAAATACAAAAAGCGGGGTAATACATTCATTTTTATGCAGTTAATTCTACCCGGAAGAGATAAGTAGAGACCGGACCATCTTTGAAAATCAGCCTCCAATTTAAGCAGGAGAGGTTTGAAATTCTTTCCATAGAGATCAGAGAACGTACGGGTGATGTGTATGCCTAAATATTTAAAACCGGACTTTGATTATATGAAAGGGGAACGCATTGTCTGGTAGCTGAAGGGCTAGATAGTTAACTGGGAAGCATTCACTTTTAGAATAGTTTAATTTATAACCTGAAAAGCTTCCAAAGTCATTAAGAATATTGACAATAGTAGGAATACATGACACTGGGTCAGAAATATACAAAAGTAAGTCATCGGCATATAACGAAATGTTATGTTCGATATCAAACCTGCGAATACCGAGAAAATTGGGGGTTGTTCTTAATTTTATTGATAAAGGCTCGATAGCTAATGCAAATAAGAGTGGGCTTAGAGGGCAACCCTGGCGTGTGCCCCTTGAGAGAGAGAATAAATGGGAAGATATCTTATTTGTAAGAACAGATGCTTTGGGTGATGTATATAACAGGCGTATCCAGGTTATAAAATTTAAACCAAAGCCAAATTTTTCCAGTACAGTGAACAAATAATTAAATTCAAAGCAAAGATATAGGTCGATATGAGCCACAATCATTTGGGTCTTTGCCTGGCTTTAAAAGAAGTGAAATGGAAGCCTCTGTTAGGGTTTGTGGTAAATGGTTCTGATTAAATGAGTGATTAAACATTTCAAGTTGCAGGGGGGCAAGTTGAAGAGAATTTTTTTTATAAAACTCAACGGTATAACCGTCAGGTCCAGGTGATTTGTCATTCTGCATTTTATTAATGGAATCTATAATCTCTTGTAGCTTTATGGCTTCCTCAAGGCTGCCTTTGACTTGTGTATCTACTTGTGGTATATCAATATTATCTAAAAAGCCAATCATTTTGGATTTATCTTGCGGGGGGCAAGATGTGTATAGTTTAGAATAAAAGTCCTTAAAGGTGTTGTTTATCTCTATTGGGTCTACGGTAAAGGATTGTGGAGTATTACGTATCTGAGGTATTAGACGGGACGCTGATTTACATTTAAGCTGATAGGCCAAAAGACGGCCTGCCTAATCCCCATGTTCATAATATTGTCCTTTTAACCAAAGTTGGTATTTTTCAGTTATTTCTGTAGACAAAAGCTCATATTGGGTCATCAATGTAACCTTTTCCTTATATAATTCGGGTGTTGGAGTAGTAGAATATTGTTGGTCAATTTGTTTTAATGATACTAAAAGATCGTTTGCTTTTTGCTTTCTTTCTTTACTCCGTGAAATAGAATAAGAAATTATCTTCCCTCTTATAACTACTTTAAGTGCTTCCCACAATATGGATGGGGATATGGAATCAGATCTGTTAAAATATATAAACTCATCTATTTCTTTACCAATGAATTCTCAGAAATGACTGTCTGATAGTAAAGATGTGTCTAATCTCCAAACTCTTGGTTGTGTGACCTTTTGAGAGAACAAAATATCTAGGGAGACCGGCGCATGGTCAGATTCAACAATAGTATTGTATTCAATTCTTTTTGTAAAAGGAAGAAGTGTCTTGTCAATGAAGAAAAAATCGATACGACTGTATGTGTGGTGAACATGTGAGAAGTAGGAGAATTCTTTTTTGTTAGGATTAAATAACCTCCACGGGTCAACCCAAACTCACCAAGAGCAAGAGACATTTTGGAGCGAGATAAGTTTCTAGGGCTAGAGCGGTCCATAGCTGGGTCCATAACCGTGTTGAAGTCCCCCGATAGAATAAGACTCCCAGATTTAAGTCTGGGAGAAGAGAAGTGAATTTATGTATAAAGCCCACATCATCCCAGTTCGGGGCGTAAATACTAGCTAGAATTACAGGAGAGTTAAACAGCGACCCAGATACTATCACAAATCGTCCCTGGGAGATGGTGTAAACAATATTTTTTTGTGGATCAGGATGGCTGCCCCTCTTGCCTTATTATTAAAGTTAGAGTGGAAACTCTGTCCAATCCAATTCCTCTTAAGCCTGAAATGATCTGCTATTTTCAAATGAGTTTCCTGTAAAAAATATTATTTCTGCATTCAGTCTCTTTAAGTGAGAGAAGATCTTTGCTCTCTTGTTAGGCCCATTCATCCCTCTCACGTTACAGGTAATGAAACGAGTTGGAGTTACACCTATATCTGCCCTAACACTATAAATGTTGTGCGACATATGACATCTTCAAAAATGAAAAGCATAATGAACATCCATCCATCCATCCATCCATTGTCCTCCGCTTATCCGGGGTCGGGTCGCGGGGGCAGCAGCCGGAGCAG